ACACAAAATAAAATGGTATACAAATGCACAGATAGAATGATAGTGGTGTCAAAATAAGTCTTAAGACACACTTAGCTTTCTAGTATTGTCTGGAAGGAGTCATCCTTTTTCCTTCTCGTGGAATAAATTTAAAATGAGAATCATGGGGGCAGAGGTATGTTTGTCCCCAGCTGCTGTTTTGGGTTTTTCTTCTAGCTTTCTCTTTTCCTGGGCTTTTAAACATATTTTATTCAGAGGCCTTGCTGTTGCCATTTTTGAGAGTTTGACTGTTGAATTTCAGGAGATTATTTAGTTCTTTATTCCTGTATATCTGAAGAATCCATACAGGAGGTCAAATTAATTAATTAAAGAAGATTACCTCTTTGCTGATCTAAAGTATGCTTATTGAAACAGCAGGCAGATACAGTTTGAAATGGGTCTTAGTGCCGAGTCTCAAGTTGTTTCAGACTGTGGGATTCCAGGAAAATACTAGCTCTGGGGAAACATGGTGGTTCTCTGGGGAAATTCAGATTAATTTTTACCAGGCTCCTAACAGATGCTGATCAAATATGTTAGACCAAAACTGGAGTGTCTAAAGTTAGACTAAGTACAGATTTAGGAGTCTTACTAAATGAAGAAATCCTGACGTACGTTACAGTCTATCTTCAGCTCCCATTTAACTTAGTGGGATTTGCATTTGATCAACAGCCTAAAAGGTCAGACATCTTTTAAATAGAAACACAATCTCAGTTTCAAAGACCACGAAACTGTAGTTTAGGCTTTTAGGAGTCTTGCAATGTGTGGATATTACCTAAAATTGATTGAGGAAGGGAGAGAGTATGGTAAAACCAGTTGTTCTGCTGAAGTTTAGACTGGGTTTCTAACCAGATGTGGTAGGGGGCAGGGAGGAGGAGAAATCATATTTTGCTGCTTGGTTTTGTCGTAGATTAATTTCAAATATTTAACTTGTTGCTTTTTGTTTCCTTTGATGTTTAGATTACTAGAATATATAGTTTGGCTACAGCCCGAGAAAGCAAATTTCAAATATAATAGAATATGTAATAAAAAACACATATTTTTAGAAAATCCCATGTCATCGTCTTGGCAAGAGGACTCTGTTGGCACATCATGCAAATTCTTTTGACTTCTGAGGTCAACTTTTAAGTTGTTAATAGGTTACAACACTTAAGAAGTAGCTTTAACTCTGCTACTCCTGAGTGAGCAGCAGTTGTATTATGGCATGTAGGTATACTCTATATAAACACGCCAACTTCTAATGCTTTAGATGGACTTGGCAGCTTACCAGGCCTTTATATATTTTACTTAGTTGAAGCCTCAGGAGTATTCTCGCATGTATATTATATGACATGCATATATACTGACATGCAATATAATTAAAATTAACTTTTTGTTCTATTTTAGATAGCCATGGAATTACGTGTAGATTGGCAAGATGTGCCAATTTGAATCTAATATGCAGCTTTTCAAATATATATTTTCCTTTAACTTTGTGAAATACTGCAAATTCACACTCAATTGCTGTAGTGGTATAGTAAACAAATTTGTTGAGGATATTACATGTTATTAAAGACAGTCTGTTTTTGGCAACTAACAAATGAGCTGGAGCAGTTGAAGAACAGAAGCCTCATGACAAGAAGCAGCACAACAGCGAAGACAAATGCAGCTTCTTACACGCTGGGACAAGGTGGCTGCCCATGGGTGCAGGCAGGCAACTGGCTGGGTAGCAGCTCTGCAGGAAAAGTACCCGGAGTGCTGGTGAGCAAGAAGCTGAGCTGGCAATCCACCTGCCCTCACGGTAACAGCAGCAAACTACAGACTGGGCTGCATTAGCAAGCGCATAGCCAGCATGAAGAGGGACCCATCTACTCACTACTGGTCTGATTGTGTTGGGGTGGTGTTTAGCATGGAGAAGGCTAAAGACAAATCTGCAGGCTCTTGCGACCTAGAGGGCCAGACTCTTCAGACACACACAGCAAAAGGGGAAGAGGTAACATCACAGGTAGCATCAAGTGAGTTTCCTAAGAGAAAATTCTTCTTCATGTGAGGGTGGTTTTTGAGGCCCGGAACTGGTTGCCCAGAAGTTGTGAAGTCTCCATCCTTCAATAATTTCAAAACTTGGTTGAGCAAGGCCCCGAGTGACCTGATTGAACTTAAAAATTAGCTGTATGTTAAACAAGTGTTTGGACTAGGTGACTTACAGGGATACCTTCCAACCTTTTTTCTTTTTTTTTTTTCCCCTATGATTCTGTGTCAAGTGGAAAGCAAGATTTAAGTTTTCTTGTAGAACGTTACTCACTTCTTAATGGGAATATGTAAACTGAATGGACTTCATTCTAGATTTCATAAGCTTTTTCTTCTGAAATGCCTTTAAAAACCTTAATTTAATGAATTGCTTGAATGTTTAGCTTAATCTGCTTCATGCTGTAGATGCTGTACAAACTTAATTTTAATTTTTGTTTGTTTTTGAAAAATAATGTTAGAAATCAACCCTTATAGTTGACCCAGAGGGCCTTGACTGACTTGAAGGTTTGTGTAGCAGTAGATGCCTGTCTGCTAATATGGCCGAGTCTGTGGCATAATCTTTCTTTTAGCTGGAAATACTTGCCATTGGGCAGCTTTGCTGTAGTAATACTCTTTCAATTTAACTCCATGCTATAATTCTATTTTGACTTGGTGCTGTTGGCTGTGTAAGGTCTATGGGTGCTAGTCATGATCTGAAACTAATATCTCACCAAAGTTCTTAATCTTTGTGAAAATGAGATTTTATTGGGGCTATTCTGTTTCTGCTGCATGTACTGTTGCTCCTTCTGTACAAAAATAATTAATTTATTTAAAGAGAAAAATGTATTTGAAGTCTACTGGTGCATTTCTAGTTCTACTGTGTTTTATTAGGAGATCTTCTGCTATGACATTGAGTAACAGTATAATACTTGAGAGCTTTTTGTCTCCATAAAAGTAGAGAACTTTTCATGCAGAATTTAATGGTCTAGAGCCCAAAGCCAGCAACAGCTCCCAGCTTTCCGTGCTCGTTGTTTATTCTCTTAAATCATTTGACTGAGTTTGCATTAGTGACAGAGAAAGCTGCCAGTGTAAACATTGTAGGATAGAGTATTTTGGAAGATGTGTGTAATTTTGTGAAGGAACTAAGCCTGCAAGTATCCAGAAGCAATGTAATGTTGCATGTGTTCAACTAGTATTTTGCAATGTTCATGAGAAAAGGAAGTAAGTATTTAGAAAAGTATTGGTTAAATGTTAACAGTTTATGATTCTTAAGTTTTGTTTACTGAAAATAATTCTTGACACATGGAGGTTTTACTGGAATTTACATGAAAGGTTGATCCTGGAAGTAGGAGAGAGACACTTGCGTTACTGTACAGCCAAAAAATGCCATTATTTATAACTGGGTAACATTTCAATTTACTTTTGACAGTAGAATTGGGCTAGAGTGAAAATGTTTTGGTTTTAAGTCTCTGAGTTTGGAATCTATTCAGGAAATGCTAGGCATCTTCAGTTTTTAAAAGAAATAGTAAGTAGTTATCAGTTTCCTGCAATTTATGTCCATTTATTAAAAGTGGAACACACAAAATTTGGAGTTTGGAGTTGTGATGTTCACCACCATTCTTGAAAATGCTTTTTATTTCTTAGTCTTTGCTGTCAAATTATCATTCTCTTTGTTAAAGAAGTGGGGATGGTGACACAAATTTTGAACATAGGTCCATCCTGGGGGATACTGACCTTCATAAAAAGGCAGGGGCCAGCCACTGTTGACTCGACAAAACCGGCTTGGGTTAGGTGAACCTGCACATGCAACCCAGAGAAATAAATTCATAGTAAAATGTAGCATTTGTGGCAGCAGTACTGAATGCTGATTATTTTTTCTCTTAACTTTATTTTTTTTTCTATACGTAAACCCTGCGGACTTTTTGGTCAGTTCAATTCTCTGTAACTTTAATTAGCTGGAGAGACAAGTAGAAAATTCTGTTCTGTACTGCTTAGATGCTAGGTCTGTAAGATCTTTGTTTCTTCTTGTCTGTAAAGGTCTAACACGTCCTTGGTTAACACTGACATGCTTATATAGCATGAAACACACGTTCCTTAAGTGATTCAGGTTGTTGGAGATACTCTGTATTATTTCATATGCTGAAGAAATAATTCTGATACTTGGATAGAGATCAAAATTTTCTTGTTACGAAGACAAAATTGATGGAAACAAACTTTAAACAGAAATACATAATGATTGCATATTTGTATTGTAGAGCTTGGCAATAATGTTTAACTTGGCTACAATTAATAAAAACTTAATGGGCAAATTTAATGTTATTGATTTTTTTTTTAAATAAATTTGTTCAGTGTGTAGTCAGGTTTTACATAAACTTGGTGGAAAATCAAATTAGTCTCGTACAGTTGTTAAAAAAATTCCTTCAAAGGATCACTTGTACGTGTTTCTGGATAACTTTGTAACAGGGCAAACTTGTGTTCTAACTGAAATGAAGTTTATTTTACTATCTGGTATGAAAGGATAGCGCCAGAGGTGAAGAATGGTGAACAGTGAGCTAAGTGAGTTGTCAGATACAGATGGTAAAAAGCAGATTTCAGCTTTCTCTTAATTATTGCATTAGATGTATTTAGCTGTCGTTCCGACAGAATGATAAATTTGCTATAGCACAGTAATTCGGCGGTGCGGCTGACACCATTTGTTAAAGGTTGCTGTCTTTAAAGTAGTTTTGAATTAGACTGTGTTGTGCAGGTGCACTAAACTATGACTTATGTTTTTTTTAATCCATTTAATCTGTATAAAAATTGGTTGTTCGTTTAGAAGGTTTAACGTAAGGAATTGAAAGCTGTTTCTTCCTTATGTCCTACTGAAAAATTTGAACAGACCATTTTGTTTATATTCCTGGGAAACTTGAATTAGTTTAGAATGCGTTCATTATGAATTTAGATTTCTGTTTTTGTCCGAGGCTTACTACATCATTAAAACATCTACTCTTCCTTCACAGGCCTATGAAGAGTACACCAGCAAACTAGATGCTCTACAGCAGAGAGAACAGCAGCTATTGGAATCAATGGGGAACGGAACTGATTTCTCTGTCTCCAGTTCAGCTTCAACAGACACAGTTGCATCATCTTCTTCCTCTAGCCTCTCCGTAGCACCTTCTTCCCTTTCAGTGTATCAAAACCCTGCTGATATGTCACGGAATAACCCTAAGTCTCCACAGAAGCCTATTGTTAGAGTCTTCCTGCCCAACAAGCAAAGGACTGTGGTGAGTCAGTTTCTGTTCACATGCTTGTAACCTCAGTATTTCCTGTATCTCTCTCCCTCTGTATGCAAAAGTTAATTTAGGAGCTGAAAGAATACCTATGTGGAAATCAAAGAGGTGGCACAATCACTATTTGTGCTCTGCTGCACTCAGTTAACTGTTTTGATATGTTGAATGTTTTCTGGAGGATTAACACAAAGATGTCCATTATAGCAATAATAAAGAATACGAAACTTTCAGGAGTCTTACAACAATGAAGATAACCTCAAAAATATTTTTTTTGCAAATCAGCTTCCTTGGATAAATAGCAACCTACCATTTGACAATGGTTGGGAGAGGGTAGGAAGCTCTTTCTTGTATTTTACAAAATTATTGATTAGTTTAACAGGACAAGATTGGGGAAAGTGTTTTTCGTGTGGTCAAAATTACTAGCAGCAGTGAATGCTTTACAGCAACTACCAGCCCCCTGCAGCTAAGGAGGGCTGCACGGAATCACTTGGATTTTTATTTTTTTCTTTTCCTCCCCATTCCTGGTGGTGAGCGTTTTATGTTGGGAGTCTGATGTTATCAGGCCCTGTGTGGAGAGATGGCTAGGGGAGGGGCATAATTGCTGTTAGGAGGGGGAAGAAGTGTTGCCTGCAAACTGCTCAAGAAATGGTGTTTATCAGTTTTGACAATGTTACAGTGATTCCTGGAGTCGTGGAAGAAGAGTTGACTTTTTACAGGCTATTTAATTGTCCGTTACAGGCAGGATTTTTTTTCTTGGATAAGAGCTGCCTACTGAAAAGCCTTGATATGTACTGTAGAATAATACACTGCATACTGTGATATATGAAATTGCTGACAAGTTGTAGTCTAGGCTCTGTTTTGCAAGGTGTTGCACACTCTTCACTTACAAGGGGAGTTGTGGTTCCAGTGAAAGTGGGAAATTAATGAAGAGCACAGCCAGTGTCCTGTGAAACCAGTGCTTTTTGGCTGCCTGCTGAAATTGAGTTGCTGGCAAAGAGGAGAAAACATAAACTGAGTAGTGCTGGACATTGGGAACGTGTCCTCTCCCTTCCCCTGACACTTTCCTTCCTTCCATCACTCCCTCCCTCTGCCTCACCAAACAAAAGAGATCATAAGATTTATAGTGGGAACAACAGATCAAAGGGCAGTTCTTTTCACCAGGATTTTTTTTTAATATTGCTTGATTGTTAAAGGTACCACTTAAGATTGAAAGTAGTATTTTGTTTTCAACCTAGAGAACAGGGTTTTAATGTAAACCACAGCCACTGTGCAGATGTACAGCATTAAGCAAGGGGATTTTGTTGTCTGCCTGTGAGGTATGGCTAGGCACATAGTGCTGCCCACATTGTGAAATTTGGAGACAAGGTATTGGATTTTGGTGTTACTCTAGTTTCTTTTTCATGTGTTCTGTCCCACCCTGTCTGGCTATTGTAGCTACAACCCCTGTCATGGGGCTGTCCCATAAATTATTTTTGTTTCTTTCCTACAGTGGGTCACAGTATATTGCTTCCTGCATTGTTCTGTTCATTTCCATTTCTGTCTCTCCTATGTGTTGTCTCATCCTCTTCTCTAAGCCATCTAGTATATTTCTGCTCTTATTCTCTTATTTGCAGTATTCCTCCTCTTTTCCCTTCCCTCTCCTCTTTTTTCACCTCCTCCTCAGTCCTTTTATCAGAGGTGTGGTAAGGCTTTTCTCAAGTCTGAGCTCTCTTCTGCTTTTTAAAGGAATCATTTTATATAATGAATAGTTTATAATTATGTAATATACGACATCACACCTGTAGGCATGAGGTTTTTTGATGTTCAGATGTGTGTGTTTTGCTGAGCTTAGGTTATATCTGAATATGCAAATCTGATTACAAGTTAGGAATAAGAGCCAAATGAATTTCAGTGTGAACCAGGTGATACAATTTTGGGCCAGTACAAAACTTGTCTTGCCTCATCTGAAATTAAAGTAAAACAGTTTGTCTCCAACTGAATGCTTCTTTAAGTTCTTAAGTAACAGTAACAGATCAGCTTGGTATATGTAAAAACATGTGGGACTGTGCTTTCCTGGACTAGTATGTCTTCTCACTTTTATCTCTACGCTTTGGTGAATGTTGTGATTTTGTGGCATCAGTTGTGCTCCTTAAGAGCTTGCAGATTTAACCAGAAAGGTTAAGTTCAAGAATGCCAGCTTGTCTGGTGCCATATCTTGACTAAGAGTTAACTTTCTGGCTTGAGGACATGCTCTCATGGGATGAAGGAATTGTAGCACTCGGCAGTAGTAGTCAGTGACTGGCAGCAGGGTGATAGGAGTTTTTTCCAGAACTGAATCTAGATACTGTTCCTGGCTATGGGAGGCAAATGTGGTTTAACTTGGGTGTAGTCAGGGAGTGGCTCTTGCTCCTGTGTCCTGCCCTCTACTGGAGTCTAAACCCTATTTGCTTTACCTGCAGTTTGCAGCCCTGCAGTTTGTTTCCAGCTTGATAAATGTGGGACACTAAGCATAGAGCTTCAGGAAAATTTGTAGTCTTGCACTGTGTTTAAAAAAAGTGGTACTCATGAAAGAGTAGCAAATAGGCTAGTAGTGGAGGGAACGTGCAAGTCCCTTTCGTCTCGAATCTTGTATAAGTGTGTCTGTAGATGCACTTACATAAAGGAACAGACAGATGCCTCCAGGTATAGGGAGGCATGAGCTACACAGGCGGAATCACTGGAAGCTCTGGTTGACAGAATTTAGCTGTATAGTAATGGGGAAGTTGGCTCCATTTCTGCGAGGAGACACCCATTTTTGATTGAAATTGTTACTTTAAATGAGCAATGGGAAATACATACTCAGGTCTGGTCAGTAGGTACTGCACATTAATGGTTCAGCTTTGGTTCAGGGAGAGAGTTGACTTCTTTTTACTTCAGTTTTACGCATTGCTTGGATCTAGTTATGTTACAAAGTTGAACTTTTTTTTTTTTTAATGGACCTGGTACATATCTCTGTTTTAGAGCTGGGAAATGGTGCTTATAGGACTTCTGAGTGTTGGGGTTATTGGCCTTGGAGCTGGAGTTCATTTCTCTGAAACTTGAAATAGTGCTCATGTTATTGAGAAAGTCAGTAATTTCTTGATGCCGGCTCTTAATGTAGTTACTTTGTTTTCAATATTTATTGATCTTACACAGAGTCTGTTGAAAACCAAGGAAATTCCAGAAGCAAACCCAGATCAGAAGGAATTACAGCTTACAGTTTGGTTTTAACAGCAAGTAGTCAGACAATAGACTACTAGCCTAAAAACCACCCAGCAGTTTTCAGTGAACACTGAGATTACTTGCAGTAGTATGCTCCCTTTTTTCTCTCAAGGGATGGAAAAGTGTTGCACACCTCTTAGTCTCCCTTCATAATCTTTGACTTTAAATACAGACCTGTCGTGTCTCACTTGTGCCCATTAACTCAGCCATTTGCTTATGTAGCCATGATGGTAGTTTATGGTTTTTGAGTATACAGGATAGTTTCTGATATGATGGGAAGGAGGTTCCTTGTGTAAATACATGGTATTTGCGTTAGGGCCTCTCCCCTGCCCAAGTCCCCATACTATGTGGCTGTTAAAGTAAGGATAAAATGTGTCCTACGACTAAGCATGTAGCTGGGAGAGGAGAGATGCTGTTAAAGTTGCAGTGTTGCAGGAAGCTTCCCCCGCCCAAAACTTAACTGCTTTCAGTTAATAATCTGCTTCTGAAAGAATCTTTTTTAATATCACAATAATATTTTCAGTCTCTACCTCCAACCGCAGACCCACTTCAGGAGGTGAGAAATCTTGTCAGATACTGTGGAGTCTTTGTTGATTTTTTTTATCTGGGAATGCAATGACAGTTCTTAAACTGGCTTAATTTAAAGCAACTGGAATTAAGTTGGTAATGGAGAACAAACCTTCTTATTTATCTTTGATCATACTCGGAAACAGTCCCAAGTACTACAGCAGCCTTCTGCTATTTGTTCAGGGCTGTTAAAAATGCAGGAAATGGGGGGTGAGGGGGTGGGGGGGGTGGGATGTGCTCACATTTTTTACTAGCAACTGCCTTGTTACTTGTGACTTGTCTACATTTTCTGTTTATTAGTAGTATTGTTTGTATGTAGAATCAGGCAAATACATCTGTTTGAGTTGGCTGCAATTAGAAACATAATGTGAGGAAACTGATGGAGTACAAAGAAATAAGACCACGTAGATCAGTGTAAGTTATTTCTGTGCATAGGTAGTACAGCTCATGTCAAATTTCTTTGTATGTGTCATGATAAAGCAGAGTGTATGACGAAAGTTTTCCCTAATGTGGGAAAAGGTGTGAAGGTGCTTCCTTGAAAGCCTGTCCAGTAAGTGATGGAGCCTACTGCTGCTGATCAGTTAGCAGTTGAAGGCAGTATCTTGATTCGGACGGTGACACAGGAGGGTTAAAATGTAACTTCTTTTTGAAAGCAAAACCAAGTAGCTGGCTTGGTTAGTTGGAGAGGAATGAATGAATAAGTAGTGTCAGAAATAGATTGTTTTCCTCTGTCATTGGCCTGGGAAGGGATGAAGAGGAGTTTCTTCTCTGAACAACCTCCTAGAAAAGACAACAGATTGTTTGTTGTTCTCTGGAGGGGGGGGAGAATTGTTCCCTGTGATGCAGGGAGATAAATGTCTGAAATACGTATACTTCCTCCTTCCTTAGTGGCATGGTTCAATTGGCAAGTTAAATGTCCTTTGGAGAAGCATTCTGCATAGATGGTGACCAGGATAAGTCTGTGTACGTTGGTTTGTTTTGTTTCAGGCCAGAGAGAAGGATGTTGAAATAATAAACATGCAAGATGGTAAAAGTCTACTTGAGATCATCAGTCATTTTGCAGAACAAATTGATGAGGCTTATCCAAACTGTGGGTGGGAGAATTTAGGGAAAAAGTAGTTTAAAGCTTGTTTGCATTAGGGACCTAAATGGCTGTGGAGTGGATAGTAAAAAAAACTCCTAATTAAAGGAGAGCTTTTGGGTGGGAG